GCGAAGGGTGAGGTGGTCGGATTTGTCTCTGGACAGTGGACGCCAGTTCTTGTCTGTTCTCTCACGAGCATTGTTTTACGTTGATGGGCATAGTGATCGCTTCAAGGAGAGACACATATCGCTACTCCATGCGTTGCAGCAGTTTCATGGGTATAACAATCCAACTGCTACCAAACATAAACATGCGTCTCTTGACGTTGACAAACTGAGCATGCATGTGGATCGGGTGAGCGGCGTACTTTTGCTGCCATTCCTGAATGGTTCTGACTACAAGGAGCTCAACGCCTGGGCCAATGGATGCTGTGAAGCCATGCAGCAAATGGCAGCATACCTCCGTCAGCATTCAATTCATCAGATCGCAGACAGTACTGCCATGGAGCCAGCCAGGCAGCCAGAGCAAGATAGCTCTTGTGTCATTGTTCCTGCGTGTGACCAGATTCCTGCAGCCTTCATTGACTTGGAAAAGAAGCTGGACAGCTGCGGCGAATACAACATAGTAAATGTCATGGACTACGCACCTGCTAGTCGGTATGAGAGGCGCCATTTCATTGACAAGATCTGCAGCAAATCAGTTCTGGCAGTCTTCAAATACCACAGTGGTGGATCTCACCAAGCCATTGTGTGTGTTTGGAGGCTCCCCCCGTGCTTGGATGACCGAGACGAAACTCGCCATGCATGCTGCATAGCGGAGCTCGTCAAGAAAGCACGTGACTTCCATACGAGAGCAATGAGAAAAGACTTTCTCCACCGTTGGCAAATGGCTTTCCAGGGCAAGGCCTCAGCAGCAGCTTTGAAAGCAATCTACTCAGAGCTTACAGGTGATAGCAGCATGTTGACAAATGCCCAAGAGAATAAAACTCGTGAGAAACTGCTGGAGTGGATTCTGAATTCTGATGACTCAGATTTCCTTCTCGACTATCACAGTGGCAGTGGACGGCTGAAGGAGGGTGCCTTTGAGCACTTCTGGGATGAGGTGGAGAAGTCCCTGAATGAACAAGAGCTAGCTGTCCATGAACGCCGTCATGGTGAGACCATGTTCTTGCCCGTTGCAGTATCAATGACGTCTCTGCACAAGGCGATATGTGACCGCCTTGATGCTGGGCCTCACAAAGGCGTCAGGCGAAATAGCACGTCATAGTACATTTGAGATCAGCGGGAAGAAGATGACGACGTCCACTAATTCAGTATCTGTGCACACGAATCTGCTGTGTGTGTGACTCTGTGTGTCAGCTATGATATCATCTTCTGTGGTTCCATGCCTAGCATGTACGTCTGAACCATCCTGCAAAGTTTGAATGACGTAGGTTGAGCGATCGATCCGCGAAACATACTTTTTGAAATTCTCTTCATAGTATATCTTCCACCACTGAAATTTCGAATTTCTTCGAAAAAAGTGCTGAGAGGGGTGGCTTGCAACCTCGATATGGCTTGTTCCAGGCATGCTTTGGAGCCATCTTCTGTTGAAGTAGTGGCAGGGATCTGCCCTGCAACTGCTACAACAAAAAATGATTCGATCTGAGAAAGGGTGAGACCGCGAATCTCCGTTGAATATTGAGTATTTCAAGCCTTTTCACGACGAAGATGGAGTTCTTTTTGGAGATGGACGGCGCGGCAAAGGACATGGTGTCCGACTTCTGGCGTCTGTTGAAGCCAGGGATCATTTGTCCAGTCAGGTCGGCAGCCTAACCGTCGGTAAGCTTGTGTTTGGGTCCCGTTCTGCTCGATGTGGTAGATCACAAACAATTTGATATCGCACAAATTGATCTCAGCATCGTGCGTACGGTATTTTATATTCAGAAAATCCCAAAGTGTCTCTGTGTGGCCGTCCTATGCCACGAGAAACTCCAATCAGGCTCCTATGTCCTCTGCCTTCATGATTGAATGTCCACTTCGTTTGAACAACGAACACATCAATCGAGGAGGGCTTTGCAATGAAAAATACAGCTATACTGGAGCTGAAAAAAGAAAGAAAAAAACGTGCTCAGGATGAGACTCGAGTACACGCATACTCTCCCAGCAGGTGAAACGCAAATTTTTGTGAAAAATGCGTGACGCCGACTGACCAGTAATTTCGCCTGACGGTGCAAGACACCATCAGTCGAACTCCTTCGCCTGCAGTTTCAGCCGAGCAATGAGTATGTCAACTCATCTGCAAGACACACAGGTCGCTTCAACATTCGCTATGCCGTCCAGCAGAGACAAATCCATGGTCATCATGTTGATAGCCACTACGCCAATGCACAATTCAAGTATGTGAAAGAATATGCTGTTGCACATGCTGGTGAAGTGGCGCTCTTCTGCCTTGACGACAAGGCTGGTATTCCTGTGGGAGAACCAGGCACTCCTCTGTCAACTGGAGTCCGAGGCCATAATCGTTCCCTTGTAGCATCTGGCGATTCTTTGGCAGCTAGCGACCATGACTGGCATGTTGCTGGTATCACTCCATCCGTCAGCCTGCACGTTGATATACCAGCGTCTCTTGGAGAGAGTTTCTTCACGGGCCAAGTGTCGGTCAACTGCAAGGAGAGAGTATTCCAGCCCTCCTGACCTTTCCGGCATGCCTAGGAACTGGAAACTCTTTTCCGTTCGTCAAGAGATGCTAACAAGAAGGTACTGGTAATGTACACTGGTGGTGGACCAGACCACAGAGTCACATTTGGATCAGTCAAGGTGGCCCTTGCATGCCTCTTCATGGAGCTGGACCTGGACCAGTTGATAGCTGTGCGTACCTGTGCAACGCAGAGTTGGATCAATCCAGCACAGCGATGCATGTCCCTCCTGAATCTTGCTCTCCAGCACGTTTCACTTTCCCGAGCCACCATGAGTGAAGAGATGGAGAAGCTGGCGAAGAACTCTACAACCATGGCTGAGCTACGGTCTGTGGCTTCGAGCCAGCATACATTGACAGCATGAAGGGCGTCATCGGTGCCATATGTGAGCGATTTAAGCAGTTGGAGCTGAAGGGTATGCCAGTGGCAGTAGAAGAGCCAGCGAGCGAAGACTCTATCAGCAATCTCTTCCGCCACGCTGAGGCCATTGACCCAGCACTCAAGATTCACTCTTTGCAGAAGGCTGATCTAGCCAGTGCAGCGAAGTACCGTCAATTTAGTGAGCGTCCCACCCGGGCGACTCACTATTCCTTCCAACTGCGGAAATGTTCTGCTGACAGCAACCCATGTGAGTGGTGCAAGGAGCATCCAGCGGCCACAACAGAGAGGGCACTCCATTGGCTTCCATGCCCTGAACCTGCCGATGACAAGTCGTACCAGCCGTTTCAAGCGTGTATGATGGCAGGGAGCCAGATGAACGCCATCGTCCGTCACTTTGTGCCAGTGCCAGCCACCCAAGGGACGCACAACACTCCGAGATCATGAACTCAAATAAAGTTCGAGCCGCCGTGAAGTGTTCCGACTGTGGAAAACCGAGATGCGTGTATGCGAAGCTGAAGCTGACGAAGCCACAGCACGATGCCATCGCTGACATGATATCTGCAGCGGAGTACACTTGTGGTGCTCCCTTGTTCATGGACGACAATGAATTTGCTGAGATTGCTATCGTCAGGCATGGCATCAACTGCACGAGCACCATGGAGGTCCCATACTTCAACTCTAAAGCCGATTTGCGATTGTGCTGCTTCTTCTGTGGAGGAACCCATCAACTGTTGCAAGACACGGATCCGTACATGCTAGGCATGCGGCGGAAATACAGTGTTGTCCGTCCACTCTGCTCAGCTTGTCGTACCGAGGGACGAGAAGCTGCGACCCGCAACCAGACGAAAACGGGAACTGCTGCAAAGCGCTCTAAGAAGTGAGAGGTTATTGATCTGATCCAGCCATGTGGTAACTGTATGCATATGAAATAGTGTGATTGTTTTATTGCAATACGCATAGACACTTGACTCATATGTGTTTCTATTAAAATACAATTCTATAACGGGTGGTAACGCAAATGTGCGAACTTTAAACTTTCCAATACAGCAGTATATAGCAGTTCATGTGTTATAATTTCCTGTAGTGCTATTCTACCTGGCGTCAATTTAATATCCATAGTGTAATATCTCACCTGTGTCGAGAACTTTACTGTTTGTGGTGATATAAAGTGCTGCGTTGAGCGCAGAACAGAACTATCAAGCAGGGCTAGCATCACACATACATAGTATCGTACTTGTACATGATAATTCAACATGCAGTACATACACAATGGTATACAATCATGTACATGGTACAGTATATGCATGCTATGCTGTCATCATCATACGTGTAGTACTGTATATATACATGCACTAAAAAAAATATTTAAAAAATTTAAAAGAACCCCCGCCCGCACCAATTTCACATGGGTGCCGCCCGGGAATCTCGATTTTTTTTGGTCTCGCCTAATAATAATAATAACAACATCATTATCATCCTCAGGCAGGCAGGCATAGTGGGATGGTCTTAGACCTTGATTGAGAAACAGAGGGTACCAGGTTCAAGTCCTGCTTGGAAGCGGAAGGAATTTTTCCAGCCGTGCTGCGACCCACAGTTAATTGGGAACTCGTGGCCTGGCACGAGGGTAACATGGATGCAGCTAATGGGATTTCGGTCTTTGACCACTTGGTGGTGGGTCTGATCTACTCACCTCCCACCGTTTAGGCGCTGCATCTGCGCCTTTGATCCTAGTTAAAGGGTGGTGGCGTTCCCACGGCGGATGCGGAAAACTCGGCTTCCAGCCGAGTCTCACGCGAACCGTGAAATTTTTTAATTTATTATCATCCTCTACTGATGAGCTCCGACAGGGAGCAAAACAGCTGTCTAGACGCGTGGAGCAATAATATTTTCTCTCAACGGAAGTGTCCTTGCTGGTGTCTGTATGGTTCGGCTGAAGAGCGCGTGGTTGTGATGAGTTGGGAATGCAATGAATAATAACATCACAAAGAAAGATCGTATAGTACTTTGGATAACGTTTACCAAACATGTAGTACATTTCTACAGATTCATATAAATTATAAGTGTTCTTACCAGTTGCAATAGACATTCCAACTCCATGGCATTAAACTTAGTAAGGGCTTGAATAGGGATTAGGTTGCTGATATCCCATTCGATCTTTTACACTCTATTGGGGATGTGAGCAAAACAGAAATCGAAACAAAAGGCCATGAGGAAGACGAAGAAAATCAAGTAGCAAAACAGCCCGGGATCCAGAAGTGCCCAGGAACTGACAGAAACTGGCCGGACATGTATGCGGTGTTCACAATCACACACAAACACACACACACACACACATTCACACACACACACATGCACGCACGCACGCAGGCACACATGCACAAGCCAGACACACCAGAAAGAAAGATAGCAGCAGTAGCAGCAGCAGCAGCAACAACAATAGCAATCACACACCAACACGCCACTACACATTAACACACATGTATGTTCATCCACGAACACCCAAGGTGGTCTCTGGCACCTCAAGCACACTCCATGCTTTCCCATTCTCCATCATAACCAGCACGAACACACACACACACACACCTCTCTTCGGCAAGCCCACTGAGCTCCATTCAGCCATTCAGCTGGGGAAATGCACTTGTTTATGTCACCGTGGATATGGTGAAAAAATGTGTCATGCACGACTTTCAGCCAAGGCCGACTCTTTTGATACGGCCGAATGAAGCCACATTCTTGACAAGTGGCTGAAGGCCGAAGCACACTGGGAAGTGCAGAGATGACGTATGGAAGGCTTAGCTCCACCACAGAGAAGGTCGATCACTGCAGAAATTGGTCATTTTCAATTAGTGTATTGTCTTCACGAGGTGAAATAAGGGCTGTGCTCAATGCTGTTAGTGCAGTGAAATGTTTGTTAGTAGTTATCTCCATTGTGTACTGGGACGTGACACCGACAGGAGAAAGCTGGAGTGTGGAGACATCAGCAGACAAGCGAAAATAGTGACAAACACAATGCTGAAATCTTGATTGGGAAAAATCAGACGTTCAGTATTTCCCCCAACCAAGGACCATGCCGTTTGCTCTTTCCACTTCCTGAAGATGGATGTGATGCTCCCTGGCGACTCTCCTATCTCTCGTTACATCTTCTGAAGCCAGGTGAGACGACGGGTGGTGGAGATTGACGAATGAAATAATGACGCAGGTTTGAAAATTTGCTAAAATGTCTCAGGAAATATGGCGAATACCAAGCATCTTCTCCTAGAGGAACCCACTTCCTAGGCACAGTCAGCCCAGGGAAATGCAGGAGAAGGCCGATAAACTGTTCATGGCACTAACAGCATTGCACACAACACTTCTTTCACATCGTGAATACAGTAAGACAATTGAAAATGACCAATTTCTGCAGTGATCGAACTTCTCTGTGGTGGAGCTAAGCCTTTCATACGTCATCACTGCGCTGGTCGCTATGGCAACGTGAGTATACAATTGGGGATTGGCAAGTTTGGCTTGTCGTATGGAAGCGAGAGATATGCCATTCGAACCGATAACACTGAAACTGTCTTAAGACCAACACCTGATTGCTAATCTTTTTCAAATGGACTGTACACGCCTGGTATTGCATGGTGCATTGTAGGGTGCATTGCAATCAATTGAGCAGGTAGTCTCTAGCCACCTGGTCCAGGGACCTACATGGATAACACACGTCTGTGGCCGAATGTGGGAGAATGTGGAGTGTGTGGTGCTTTTTGTTGCTCTGGCCAATGCATACTCTACAGGGTACGCTCATTTCATAATCATTTTTCTCTCTTCGAACTCCAGTGAGAATATTCACGCCATAATGGGAAATCATGGCGAGCTTTTGCGACATGGTGGAGATACGTTGGTGGCTGTTATGCACAGGATTTGTGACCTCGCATGGACGAATGGTAGATGGCCAACATCATGGACAAGGTCCATTCTTGTTCCCATCCCTAAGTCTGGAGACCTTCGGCAGTGCCAAAACTACAGGACAGTGAGCCTCATCAGTCATCCGAGCAAAGTGCTACTGAGGATCTTGCTGAAGCGCCTGCAGCCGCAAGTGGAGGGTTTGCTGGCGGACGAGCAAGCAGGGTTCCGGAAGGGAAGAAGCACAGTGGAGCAAATCTTCAACCTCAGAATGTTAATTGAAAAGTACCGTGACCATCAGCAGGCTGTGTATCATTGCTTCATCGATTTCCGTAAGGCCTTTGATAGGGTTTGGCACAAAGCGCTATTCAAGATTATGAGAGCGCATGGCATCGAAGCAAGAATTGTGGACCTGATTGAAGCGCTTTACGCTACTACTGAAGCTGCCATCGTTGTTGGATCCACTATCACCGACTGGTTCACCACGTCAGTGGGTGTCAGGCAGGGCTGTTTACTCTCGCCTTGTCTGTTCAACGTATTCCTGGAGTACATCATGTCTGACGCTTTGGAGGAGTTTGATGGGTCAGTATGTATCGGCGGCATGTGCGTGACCAACCTACGTTTTGCGGATGATATAGATCTAATCGCATCGTCTGTGGAGGAGCTGATGGACCTGACCGAGCGCGTGGATACGAGTGCAACAAGACTAGGCATGCAGATCAATGCTTCCAAGACCAAGTCAATGGCAGCGCCGGAGGGCGGTGGTGATCTGGGGTGCATTCAAGTAGGCAATGAGCGAATAGAAGAGGTATCCCAGTTTAAATACTTAGGTGCCGTAATCACGTCGGATGGCAAGTCCGATGTGGAGATAAGAAGACGCTTAGCACTAGGGAAGCAAAAGATCATTGAGCTTCAATTCATTTGGAAATCGCCATCACTTTCTTTGCCTACTAAATTTCGTTTTGTTAGGTCTATTGTGCTAGCGACTGTTTTATACGGATGCCAATCTTGGACATTATCTGCCTCATCAATGAGAAGAATTTCATCCTTCGAGATGAAATGCTTCCGCCGACTCTTAGGAGTAACATACCACGACCGGCGTACCAACCAATCTATCCTGGAAGAAATCAATGACATCATCGGAGCAAGGATGCGGCTAGCGAACGAAGTCAAGAAATTTAAGTTGATGTGGTTTGGCCATGTTACGAGACATGACGTTTTCTCCAAGCCCTTCCTGCAAGGATCAACTCCTGGATCTCGACCGAGAGGAAGGCCCGCAACATCATGGATTTCTAACATTAAAAGTTGGACGGGTCTTCCCTTGCATGCTCTCTCTCATGCAGCACACGATAGAGTTGGATTCAGAGACATCATTCACAATTCTCTCGCTGACTAATGCCTCTACGATCACCTTGTGATTATGAGTTATACATACATACATACATGGGAAATGGATTCTCTCTCCACCTCTCCAGTTACGAATCCGAACTCCCCGAGGGCACAGCACACACGTCCGTCATACAGAGTAGGCCCACAACTATACAAAAAGACTGTCCGTGACTGAGGCAACTAACCCGTCAGGTGATAGCAGGTTTGTCTACTCTCCAGTTCCAGCTCCAGTCCTGTCGAGACCAGCTCGTCATGCACTTGAGACCTGCTGAGTGTCCGCACGCACGTCCCTGGGCGTCCAAGGCGTTCGATTTTGAACACCGCCGTCAGAGATTGTCCAGCCAAGACGTTTGCACTCGCTGAGCAAGCACCTGTTTCAGATTGCCGCTGCACACTCGCCGGAATGCGCTCACAGTCCTGGAACAGTCGTGCCACTAGGATGCTGCCCACCTCCTGTTAGCTTGCCCTGTCAGGCACAGCAGTCGAGCAGCTACAGATCTATCTACAGCGTACCTTCACGTCAGTCAGTGAGCCAATTTTCACACAACCATAGGAAGTGATCCAGTTCATACAACTGGAGAAACGGATCTTATTTTCAACTACTTGTGTACTGTATATTGACTGTGATTTTCATAATTTGCATGATTTGTAGCTACCGCCCCGGAAAAGAAGGCAGTGTTGAGTGGGAGGTCATGACATGACTCATGAGTCATGATGCCTGAATTTTGCCCGACGCAAGCGCACGATTCGGCCAGATCAGCACAGCGTGTCTGATTTGATTTCTTATGGCACGAAGCAACATTATTAGGAAAGGCCAAAGGTCAAAAGGTCGAATTATAATAATTTATGCCCGAAATGACGTCAAACCAGGCAGTAGTATTATGCTACTCCGTCACTGGATAAACTGGACTCCTGGACCGTGAATTCTATTGTATTGTATTGCTTTTATTTTACATGGCAAGTCAAACGGGCACTCATGCCCAATGTTATGATGACGATGGAAAGGGAGAAAAGAGTAAAGCGGGATTCACAGAAGCTTATTTGCGATGCGACACGCGATGCGACGCGATCTGCGATGGATGCGTGCGATGCGAACTCGCGAAATACCATTCACAGAAGAAGTCAGCGATGCGACAAAGTTTTGCTGATTTGGGTACGTCACCATGATATTCGCGCGGTTTGACACAACTTGTAAAAATTTATAGGCAACTCTTGCACCTTTGTACAACTTTGCTGTAGAAAAGGTCAAAATCGTACACCAAATCGCTTGTCGCATCGCATCGCATCGCAAAAGTTGAGCCAAGCTCAACTTCTGCGATGGCCTGCGATGGCCCAGTTGCGGCAGTTGCGTGGGGTGCGACATGGCTGCGATTTGGGGTTTTCCGGGTTTCGCGTCTGTCGCATCGCGTGTCGCATCGCAAAAAAGCTTCTGTGAATCCCGCTTTAGAACAAGATTAGTTTTCTTACATGACACGTGATCGTTGCCGGGGCCATGGCCAATAGGCGATCTTCCCGCCGCGGGCATAATCAGGCCATCAGGACCGTTTGACGTCATTTCGGGAGTTTCAGGACCGTTTGACGTCATTTCGGGAATGTTCGGACCGTTTGACGTCATTTCGGGAATAATTTTTCGACCTTTCGACCTTTCGACCTTTGACCTTCCCTAATATGTTGCTTCGCGATGTAAGAAATCAAATCAAGCACGCTCTGTCTGTCATGATGGCTGAATCTTGCCCTTGCCTGCAGCCCTCGGGCCTACGGCCCTTGGCCCGGGCTGCAGGCTCGGGCAAGATTCAGCCATCATGACCTCCTGAGCGTGCTTGATTACATACATCCTGGATTATCGGGAGTGAAGAAAACAGTGAGTCTAGGAATCTCTCCTGAGATTCACAGTAAGCTTGTTTTGAGGGCAGTTAGCTTTTTCGAGCTCCGTAGTTTTCGCAGGTTTTGTAGTAGCCAGCCGGCAGCAGGCCGGTCTGGAGAAGGGTAGGTACTAGGTAGTTAAATACATGTAGGTAGTAGTTAGTTAGAGAAGTGTATACGTATGTGGTATGGCTGCAAATATGTCTGCAAAAGGTAGTTCTAACCTAAGCCGCGGTTCAGGCACCCCACCGCTTTGGAGTCACGTCGAAGGAAGGCAATCACCCCTCCCGCTGCCCTGCGCATAGCTACAGGAGGTTCGTACAGTGCCTCGTTGTCTTCAGGAAATCATGAGGCCCCCGTGGACATGATGAAGGAATTTAGGACGTGTATGTCCGAGTTGTTAGACGAACGGCTGGCAAACCTGGTGACACAGGTTGCAAACCTAACCACGGAGGTGACAGCTCTGAAGGCAAGACTTGGTGATCTGGAGCGCGAAAAGACGGACCTTGCCGCCACGGTACGGTTTTTGACAGACGACGACAGCAATACAGCAGTGCAAGGCGGACCAGTTGGTGCACCATTGACCTCTGACGCGGCAAATGCAGGACCGATAGTTCAACTCGAACCATACAACCTCTCCGACATCATTGCAGAGGAGGTTGAGAGGTCCAACCGTACTACCAGCGTCATAGTACGAGGACTGCCTGCATCATGGAATGAAACCCTATCCCTGCATTGCAGTACTCTGTTCAAATGTTCGACCTCTGACCTGCTGGAAGTCGAACGCTTGCGCCCACTCGCTACTGAACATGAGACTCCAGCGCCAGGTCCAGCTCCTGTCAGGGTACGCTTTGGAAACAAGCACCTCAAGGCGTCAGCGTTCAAGGATCGCCTTGGCCTGAAAGTGAATGGACATGATGAGTACGTCAACAACGACCTGACTCGACAACAGCAAACGAAGCGGAAGGCAGTACAACAGAAGTATAAGCAACTTCGAGCCAAAAAGGTCAAGTGCTCTCTGCCTTATGACGTCATATTGGATGACAAAGGGACACCTCTCTCTGACAATGCCATCCAGGATCTGCTCAGTCTGTGCGCCAGATTCAAAAAAAGTCGTCTAAAAGTTGACTTTTCATTTTCCGCACTGAGCAGTTTGCGGGTACTTTTTGAGTCGCATTCTCAATGCCTATATTGAGAAGAGTGAGTTCCATCCAGCTTCACATTTAGACTACGGTCAAGCAAGTAGGACCCAAACCAGGCGTGTGCCTCTGGTGCCATGAATGCATTCATGTGGCCCAGGAGCGTAGGATCATGTACTTTATCAAACGCTTTCTGGAACTCGAGAAATGCACAGTCTAATCTCTGGCCTCTATCAGAGAGACGGGCAATCTGATGGGTGAACAAAATGAGTAGATCCGTAGCTGATCGTTGTGGAACGTAAGCAAATTGACTGGGCGAAATTATGCAATTACGGTAAAGAAAGCTGTTCAGGTGATGGGCTATGCGGGATTCGAAGAGGCGGCTGATGGGATGAAGCAGTGAAATTGGACGGTAGTTCGTGGGCAAAGAAACACTTCCTTTGCCCTTAAAAAGAGGAATAACCGTTGCTGATTTCCATGTAGTGGGAAATTGTGATGTGGATAGACTGGAGTTGAACAAGTAAGACAAGGACTCGCATACTAAATCAGCCATGGACCGGGGTACTGGAATAATATGATTACTTGAAGTCGATTTTCGAGACGAAAGATTTGTTAGGTCATAGTGGACTGGTGGACTAGTGGACTAGTGGACTGGTGGACTAGTGGACTAGCGGACTTAACTTGGTGAAAATGTTGGCTTCTGGAACCGAGGAGTGGTAGTGTCAAGGGAGGAATCTAAACAAGGGAATTGATTTGCTTCTTGTGGTAACGTACACTGATTGGCGAAATGCTGGGCAAGAAGGTTTACCTTTTTCAATTGCGTGTTAGTCCGACGATCGCCATCTTGTAAATCTGGTATCAATGGTTTACGAGTTGAAATGTTGCAAAAGTCCTTAACTCTCCTCCACCACACATATCCACCTATCGTGCAACCCTTCGAGATACTGGCAGCGTTCCGAAAGGCAGATCTGGCAGCACGGATTTTCTTACGATAAATGTTCCTGGATACACATTACGCTGCCTTTGCCTCAGTTGATTGTGGATTTCGCAGATAAGCATGGTACACTACAGTCTATTCTGTCGCCGCCGAAATTGACGCAGGTCAGGTGTGTACCATGTCTGATTTTGTTGATCACGCTTACGCACCCAGGTTGATGACCTTTCGATTAAATTTAGGAAATGGGATTCCCATGCTTTCCAAGAAGCATCAACAGTTTCACATCCATAGAGGCGCTCAAGGAAACGTTCCCTTCCCATCAGGAGACGAAGCCAATTAAAATCAATTGTTCGATGCAGTAGAGTGGTCCGTTGTGGTGTTGGTGCACGTAGTGTAAGAGAAACGATAACAGGACAGTGGTCTGACAGAGGTGGGAGAGTGTTGGTAGACGAGATGATATCTGGAATATTGGTTTCTACGATGTCAAGTAGAAGAGTGCAAGCACTGCGCATATTGTGGCGTGTAACATCCTTATTGATAACCGTGAATCCATATTGCACAAATGCCAGTTGCAGTGGTCTACCACTACTGTCAGTGACGTCAGAGCCCTTCCATGCACAATTTCTTGCATTGAAATCACCTGATATGAAGTGTGTCCTACTTCTCAAGTAAGTATAACCAAGAGTGCATAACCCCCGGCGGTTATGGACTCTTGGTATAATCCTTTATCACTTGCAAAGATGATGCATCCCAACGTGCTTTCTGAGGTGTAAACACATCAATGGTTGCTCTTCGTTATGCTCAATACTTGAGTGACGACACCCTCTGAAGATAGTCGCCGGGCAGCCTTCTAGTGAATTAAATCACAAGTATACACACACACATACACATACACACACACACACACACACACACACACACACACACACACACACACACACACACACACACCTGGTCCTGGTCCTGGTAAACACTGCCATTACGGTCACGTGTCCCCTCGCGGGGCCGACAACATGGAAAACGACGCGCGACGGCACAAAGTCGGCAGTCTGCCGAGAGATCAGGGACCATGTTCAATCGGCACGACGAGAGAGCCATCTTCGGCAGGTATGGATTTGGAATCTACGAGTAGAGCGGCAGCACCGGCCAGAGGCCCTGCAGTGGGCCTTGCAGCATGAGAGGGGGAGCCGCACACGCGGCGGCGGAGGAGTCGCCTGAGCAGCAATGGTAGACCCCGCCGCCCGGCACGGAGCATCCGGGAGTTGGGGCACTTGTGGACCGCCAAACCTCCGGCACTGCGGAACCAGCGCTCACAGGAAGAACATTGTCGGCTACCTCTCTGCACACACACACACACATGCACACACACACACACACACACACACACACATGCACACACACGCCCACGCACCTTGAAGGTGCCCATTGCTGATGGCGATGATAGGAAAGGGACTATCTGCTAGCTTTGCAGTACGGAGTGTGGCGCTTGAGATCCCCGAGACGACGGCAGACCTTTCCACATGCGCTGCGGAAGCCAGAGTCCGGATCAGGGGAGCACGGTCGGGAGGACGACGATGAGCAATCTGCCCCCAGGCAGAGCAATCCTCGGCAGCATCAAACCAGCAGTCAGAAGGCAAGGGGGGGGGGGGTGGAGCGGAGATCATCCACGATGACGTCACTCCACCGCTTGCGTGGAGCATCTAGAGGGCGCGTTGCAGGGAGCTCCCCAAACAAAACTCACTTCGGCATACGGTCATCATTCATCCGGCACACACACGCACACACACACACACACACGCACACACACACACACACACACACACACACACACACACACACACACGTCCTCAGCCCTTGCAAAGACCCTTGGAGTGCCTGAGCACATTGGTCACACACACACACACAAACACACACACACACACACACACACACACACACACACACACCCGACACACAAACACACACACACGCATACACACACCTTGACCTTGTGTACAGCTGCCAGTAACTGGCTATGCCGCCCGGATGCGGGGGAGGAGAGGAGAGCGTGCAGTCATGACGATGTGCAGACATATCGCCGGATGTGGCGGAGCCAATGGAAACGTCTCCCACACTTGCACTCATGTTGAAAAGTGACCACGATCAACAGGCCTGCACCCACCTCTCCAACAGTTGTGGCGCCTGAAGCCTGAAGCCGATTTGCAGCAGCGGCCACAGACACTGCAGTGATAACCGCAGCAGCGCTCAGTCGAGACAGCGTGCCGGGGTGGGGACGCCGGGGGTAGAGATACTTGGGCTGGAGGCGATGAGGCGTGAGCAGTAGCGGTTGGCTCCACTGTTGTAGATGGTGATGGCTGACAACGGTGAACAGCCAGCCCCCCCCCCCCCCGCACTTTTAAACGACAGGTGCTGCAATGCCATGCACCACGCTGAAGCTCTACCGGAAGCCGACGCTCAGCAAGGCACTTGTGCCGCGTAAGACCCGACTGGGTGGTGAATGTTCTGTTGCAGGTGTTACAATGAGCAGCCGGCTCCGGTGCAGGACGGTCCACACTGGGCAGATAGATGCTGCCCCTTTCTTGTCGCTCTTGTGTGGACTTGTAACACTCTGGTACATGGAGAAGAGTAAGATCCGAGCGAACACGGTCCTTCCACCTGAGCCCTGGTCCAGGTGCTGGCCTGGTCTGTTGCAGCCAACCAAACAGAAGCTGCTTCGGAAGGTGGTCATCCGGCATGCGGGCCACATAGCCAAGCCACTGCAATCGCCGGAGACGCAGGATGTCAGAAAGCAGATCACTATTACCCCAGCGCACACGCAGCTCACTGTTGGTGATGTGGTCCGTTTCGGGTCCATGCGCGATACGCCAAGGACAGCACGGACACACTGGTGGTGGAAACGGTCCAGACGATCTTCATCGCAACACAGCACAGGCCAGGTTTCAGAGCCATAGAGGAGAACGGACAACACGCAGGCATCATGGATCACTCGCTTCGTTCGGATGGAGATAGCGGGGCTTTCGAATACGCACCGGAGTGCACCGAAAGCCCGAGAAGCCTGCGCAAGTCGCTGGTCAACTTCCGGACCGATCCTGCCCTCCGGAGTGATCAAGCACCCAAGGTGGATGAAGGACGGCACACACTCCACCGACTGACCATCGATGACAATGGGACGGCGGTCATTTTCGGGAATGCCGAAGCCGCAACACATGAACTTCGTCTTGGCAAAGTTGACTGTGAGACCAAATGCTGATGCCACAGAATGGAAAAACTCAAGTGCCGATTCAGCCACTTCACAGGAGGGCACCATAAGAGCAGCATCATCAGCAAAATCCACATCCAAAGCTGCAGAACACACACATACACACACACACACACACACACACACACACACACACACACACACACACACACACACACACACACACATGCACGCGCACACGCCCCCCCCCCCCCCACACACACACATGCACGCCCGCACAGCATTCCCCACCACCCCACACCGCCCCCCCCCCCCCACACACACACAAACGCACACAAACACGTACACACACAGACACACACATACACACATACAACACAAACACACACACACGCACATTATTGCAGTATGCTGATCCTAATACCAATGGAAGACGGAGATTGAAAAAGGGGAATGAAAGAGGGGGAAGATAGAGAGGTATCAATTTTACGAGGGATATTAAAGAGAATAACGAAACACAGGGAGTTGAAATCTAAACAAATTGAATATCCTGAACCGCGTAATTGAATATCCATTTGAATAATTGGACAGAAAAGGTAGGAAACTATCTCAACATTATGAAATAAATGAGAAAATGAGGAGAAGGGATGGGAGGTAGAGATCTATTCTTGAATATTGAATGTTCATTGAGCCCCGTAAGAAATGTCTTGATGTTCAATTTCGCCAATAGTGTCCAGTAAAATGTCAAGAGTGATGCGTGTGTGTTTGTTTGTTTGTTTGTTTGTGTGTTTGTTTGTGTGTTTGTGAGTTTGTTTGTTTGTGTGTCTGTACGTGTGTATAATGTGTGTGTGTGCATGTGTGGAAGGGTGTTTGAGTTGGGGGGGGGGGGGGGAGAGACAAGAGATGAAATGCACCATGCAACACTTCCCTGCAGTAAAGTCAATGGGAGGATAAAGGTTAATTAACCTAGAAATCAGGGAGTGGAAATGCACCTGATGTGAAACTAAAATTTAGAGGTGTCTCACATCCCTCATAAAACTGTGTTAATATGGTTTGGTACTAATTGATGGTACCATACACTCCATCGTCCTCATATTTGACAGAATTGAAGCTAGGCTCGATGGATTTTTCTTGAGCCTCGTTTGCCTCTGATAGGTCTGCATATATGTCATCTGCTGAGGTAGTGGATGTCGGGATGTTTCTAACCGGCAATGGCTGTAGCTGCTTCATTTCGTTAGATATTGAGGCTAGTGGCTTTTTGCCACGTTGAAAGCCAACAGCTGAACTGAAGCCTGCAGCACTAGACAAAGTTCTCGACACAGTGCTTCCTGGAGGTGGTGTTCCGCCTTGGGAAACTGCCGAAGTCAAACTTTTCCCGCCTGTATGAGATGAGATGTGTTCACGTTGAACAGGTACGTTTCCTGTCGACACCTGACCCTGGCCATCACTGAGAGCTGGGCACGCATTAGATGGCTGCAGAGACTTGTTAGATGTGGGATATTGATCAGGTAAGTTTGCAATTGCATCACCTAAAATTGAACTCTTTCTAGTTGCTGTTGCTGAAACATTTGAAGTCTGATTAGGTCCCATGGTCAGAGTTTCCTCCGCCTTGCCACCATCTTGCTGTGAACTGGTGGGTAAAGCCTGAGATGAATTTCTGTTTGATACCTCGGTGCAGAACTGTTCAGCACTGGCATGACGAGAACCATTTGGTGATCGTCCATTTCCATAGGTAATGTCTTTGGTAGCCGCTTCTTCGGACAATCCTGCAGAGGTACTGGCGTTGCCGCTAACATTGGGAGTTTCATATGTCATGTCTTTGGTAGCCGCTTTTTCGGACGATCCTGCTGAGGTACTGGCGTTACCGCTAACATTGGGAGTTTCATAGGTCATGTCTTTGGTAGCCGCTTCTTCGGACAACCCTGCTGAGGTACTGGCGTTACCGCTAACATTGGGAGTTTCATAGGTCATGTCTTTGGTAGCCGCTTTTTCGGACAACCCTGCTGAGGTACTGGCGTTACCGCTAACATTGGGAGTTTCATAGGTCATGTCTTTGGTAGCCGCTTTTTCGGACAATCCTGCTGAGGTACTGGCGTTACCGCTAACATTGGGAGTTTCATAGGTCATGTCTTTGGTAGCCGCTTTTTCGGACAACCCTGCTGAGGTACTGGCGTTACCGCTAACATTGGGAGTTTCATAGGTCATGTCTTTGGTAGCCGCTTTTTCGGACAATCCTGCTGAGGTACTGGCGTTACTGCTAACTTTGGGAGTTTCATAGGTCATGTCTTTGGTAGCCGCTTTTTCGGACAATCCTGCTGAGGTACTGGCGTTACTGCTAACTTTGGGAGTTTCATAGGTTGATAGGTGGTGAATATCTAGGCCATTTCCAGCACTACTTTCTCCCATCTGAAAACGTGCGCAATCATCCTCAGAGAAAGTCCCTGTGGAAATGCCACCGGCATGCAAGTCTACACTGTTCACGTATGAGGTCTGGAGTGAGTTTCCATTGGCCTGGCCTGATTCCCTGTTGTCGTTGCCAACCACACTGTTGTTCGGTGAGGCCTTGCGCGACTCTGCATTTCCATAAACTATAGACTGAGTGTCGGCAGGATCAGTGGAACTCTGTCCAAATACTGTTGTCAGAGCATCGGGGTTGATTTTTTGTTCATTGTTCAGATTGTCGTATGCAAGAACACTGTTGCCTGGAAGCGAAGGGTCAGGTTTCAGGGGTGACAAGTTCCCGGACGATTTCAGTGCCGTGTTGTAAGTGAAGGTTTGGCCATTGTCACTGCATGATGCCCTTGGAGAATCTGCATTGCCATACATACACATGCTGTTCTTGCACGATCCAGGGCAAGAATCTCCGTTGCCGTAGGTTGTGTCGGGATCTTCCAGTGTTGCCAAGCCAGTGTCAACTAGTTTCTGCTGGGTACCTTGTGTTGTTTTGTTTTGGTCGGCAACCTCATAAATGTCAGTGCATAGACACTGCACCCCTGCTTCCTCATAGACATCATTTCCATCATTAGCAGGCAACATAGTATCAATACTGTAAGATGATTTTTCAGAGTTTTTGTTCGCAAGATTATGATATACACAGCTTCGGGGGTCCTGAGGGCTTGGTTGTCCCTTCTTTGCCGGCTCTGGGTTCATATACGTTCCACCTTGCTGTTCAGGATCACGACCAGTTAGTTCACTTCCAGATTTACCAGGATAGTAGGTATCCTTGAGGGGCATAGCGACACGACTTCCTTGTTGTCCTTCAGGCTGCTTTTTGCCCAACCCAGTGTCATATGCTGAAATGAAGAATCACAAAAGAAGAACAACAAATTAAAATGAAAGTATAGCTCGGTTGGTGATCTAATGTGATCATGGATAAATAGAGAGAGAGAGAGAGAGAGAGAGAGAGAGAGAGAGAGAGAGGGAGAGAGGGAGAGAGAGAGAGACAGACAGAGACAGAGAGAGACAGACAGAGACAGAGAGGGAGGGAGGGAGGGAGAGAGACAGAGAGAGACAGAGACAGAGAGACAGACAGAGACAGACAGACAGATATATATATAGCGAGAGAGAGAGACAGAGAGAGACAGAGAGAGAGACAGAGAGATGGAGAGACAGAGAGATAGTGTGACAGAGAGAGAGAGAGAGAGAGAGAGAGAGAGAGAGAGAGAGAGAGAGAGAGAGAGAGAGAGAGAGAGAGAGAGAGAGAGAGAGAGAGAGAGAGAGAGAGAGAGAGAGAGAGAGAGAGAGAGAGAGAGAGAGAGAGAGAGAGAGAGAGAGAGAGAGAGAGAGAGAGGGAATGAGAGAGAGAGAAAGAGAGAGAGAGAAAGAGAGATAGAGAGAGAGATAGGGACAGAGAGCATGTGTTGAAGCAGAACGAATTCAACAATGCTGCCGGTGAGGTAGAGAGGGAGGGAAAGAGAGAGTAGCCAATTCTCTTCACTGGGTTCATGTCAGATGATCAAAAGATGAAGAAACAAAAGGGCTGGACAGTCTCTTTGTAATAAAATGGAGGTTGTGATCTTCGCTACTCTACGCAAGTTAAGCCCAAAAAATGGGAAAATAGAAAACTACTGCAGCAAATATTACTTACATGAAGTGCGCAACTTAGCATTTTGCTGCCGTTGATATACGATAACAGCAGCGGCAACAATCGCCCCTCCAACACCCAGTATAGTAACGGACACCAAAACTGCAGTCGAACTCTTGGGACCAGAGCCAGCTTCTCTCGAACCTGCAGGTTCCAAAGAACACATGTAAAACCCCATTATTTTTTTCCATCAGCCTTTTTATAATTTTCCACTCCCTGAACCTTATGAACAGACACATGGATTCGCTTATCGAATTTTTTTATATGGAATCGATTGTCGTCAAGTCTTTTGTACACGCCCATGTCACGGCAAACGCCCACCCCAGCTGGCCCTTACTATTTTCGTCTTGTTGTTTGTTTGTTTGTATTCTTTATTTAGAGTGGGAAGTCCAAAACAGGCCCTAGCCTAATAACAATGGTCCCACTAGTGAGGGAATGCTGTATATATGTGCATAAGGATCAGTGAGTCAAGTGAGTCGAGAAAGTTGCACAAAGCCGTCATGAAGTTTGAATGTGTATGAGACCAACCGCACCGCCTACGATTTCCTTATGTTTATTTTATTTTATTTATTTTTATGAAAGTGCATAGAATGGAAGAGAACAATCACAACAGCAAGGGAACATACCGGACTAAAAAGAAAAAGAAAAAAAAGCGTGTAGATGCTGTAAAGCTCTATCAGAAGGCCCTTCACACGCAATTGTCATTATCCTGCATCAAAGAGTTCTCTTCATTTGAAATGAGTCATCTTTGTAGGAGTTGGTACATTGTTTGTGGAGACTCAAGACAAGGCAGACTCAAACATACAAACATTCTGCAGCTGTTGCAATGCTAATGTTGGGATGGCAGTTGTGAAACTTCTGATACTGAGTCAGTACCCTCTCGTGGAGCTCGACTAGTCGCCGCCAACTAGTCAGCACAATCTCGGCCACACGCTCACTTGACCTCAGTGCCCCGCCTTGACAGAGATCCTGGTGAACAAGCAGTCGACCAGCTGCAAGTAGCGGCTCTACACTGACCATCAATGAGCTCTCAAAGATCGCTCTATTCCCTTCTTCACTCCACTTGATTAAAGAAGAGCGAGGAAAAATGTTAGTTCTCCTCTCTCGTTGTTCACAATAGTTTGCTGTTGTGTTCTTTGGGAGTGGCTTATGCAACGGCTTGCCAAGCTTGCTTGGCAACGCCAATGCGGGAAAAGTCTATGCAGTCAGACCTCGCATGACCGAAAATATTTCTACACTATAATACCCGGATAGGCGAGGGAATAACATCACCGAACGCACATAGTTTACTATGATGCATGTAGCACATCATAAGTTGTAACATTATGTGTCCATGTACATGTGTACCATGCAGTACAGATGGTATGTATACCGGTACTCTGTAAATAACTAGCAAGAGAAATGGCAGGAGCAAGTAACTGAGTGCTGCATGCAGGCGAGCAGTGGGTCACTTAGTCATCCAAACCCTTTCTTCGGTTTTTGTAAAACTCCTGTTCTGGGGTCTGCTTGTCACTTGAAAGCCGGATATGACAGGAATTTGTGTACGTGTTTGAACCCGTTTGTACACAAAACCGTGCGCCGGTATGCGGATCCTGGGGCTGGTTATGTTGCATGCCAGTCACGTATCCTGAAAAATCAGTTACCAATGGTATTCTTCCGGATGGCGAGGGAACCGGGCAAACGAGGTCTGACTGTATCGACAGTAATAAAGCACACTAACAACTTTTCATAGTCTGCATTGCATTTGTACTTACCATTACTATTGCAAATAGGCATTTGTAGAGTTCCGTCAGCACTGCACATTGCTGTTGCAGATCCATTCATACTATAACCAGTATGACACGTGTAGTTCACACGCTCAAGGTAGGACACCATTGTCTTGTCCGCAATGCCGTTCATGAGTATTTTGACTGTGCAAATAACAACTAACAGCACAGAAACAAAGAAGGACGCTGAAAAAAGGAAGTGATTTGCTTTCTTAAAATATATATTTTTAGGATTTCCCAAAGACATAGTCTAAATTGAAGATAGTTCCATTTTAATGGGAAGCTGTAGGGTGGAGATAGCAAAGAGTGGATAGTCAATGAACAGCCCAGCTAAGAATTACTTTTCTGGTCAATAAGTTGTTTTGGCAAGCGATAGGATGCAGTAGTGATTGCTGTGAAACATCGTGAATGACAGACCGAAGCTGATGCCCTATCCCTGCCCGATGATTTTCTTCTTCAATTTATCATACGTAGCTTGGGTATCCTATATGAGCATGTCGGAGGATACCAAAGTATGTGTGCAAGTTTATCTCTCCGATATCGTTCAACATGTTGCAGGAAGTTTCCCTTTGGGGTCTACATCGCCGGTGCAAAGCCTCAGAAAAGGTTTCTGAAGGGAACCTTGAAACTTGCATTCCCTTCAAAAATGGCGGCAAAATTACATTATTTATGGATCTAGAAATGAGTCACGCCACAGCGTACAAGAAAAAGCTACGGACAAAACTTCATCAAGCCAACATTTCTTCACCTTAGAAGAGTTCCTGGAGCCACGCCAGCATCCTAGGATATGGGGGCCAACGCCCCTTTTACACCCCAAATGATCATCTTGATAATATCCAGTGCACAAGCGCTGATAAAACTATGAGCTACGTCTCCAATTAACAAGAACTATACACCGGCAGGTAGTAGAGCACATCTTCTAGCACTGGGGACATGTCCCCCATCTTTGTTCTTGGGTTTTCTTGACATAAACTTTTCGACTTTTTCCTTTCCACCATGCTGAAATACGGCCAAAGTCATACGTGTGCAGGAAAGCTCGCCACTGCACCCCTCCCTCCTCCGCGACATCTTCTCAGTAATTTCATCTCCAACACTTCTCCCTACGTTGAAGAACAACGTGTATTGTAGACTCTGACAAGGAAAAGCACCGGTGATCAGTTGTCACTCCAAACGACAAGCTTCTCTTTGCAACCGTTGAGTCCTGATTCCTGACGATGAACAGTATGTTGTTACTCCGAGTGTCACAAACTAAGCGATCACCAGAAAACAAACATAGCTTTCTCTATAGTTTACATCATTTGCACTTACTGTTGCAAGTAGGCATTTGTAGAGTTCCATCAGCACTGCACATTGGTGTTGGTGATCCATTCATACTATAACCCGTATTACACGTGTAGTTCACACTCTGAAGATAGGACACCGTTGTTTTGTCTGCATTGCCATTCATGAGTGTTGGCACTGTGCAATTTACAACTAGCAGAACAAAAACAAAGACGAAATTGATGTTAGAGAAAGGATGTTTGGAATGATAAAAGGGTACAAGATTAAATAGGTGATAAACAAAAATTCTGAGAAACCAGATCTATATGAGTTACTTTGTTTCAACTATTGGCAAATGAGACCATTTTTTTATATAAGTTACACTCGATACTGTCGATCGCCACAGGCTACTGTTCGTAAAGGCTTCTATTGTTGAACCTGACGACTTACACCTGATCCACAATCTACTGCTTTCGACAACTGTGATCGTCAAGTTGGACGGATCGACCTCTCAGCACCTGAGCAGCACCGTTGGCTAAACCACACGGCAGTGGTTTCAGCCCGCTATTGTGTCTGTGTTATCTCGAGGCAGCTATGAAGCAGTGCCATCAGCAGCTGCCAGCAAAACCGGTGACATTCTGAGTGAGACCGGCTACGCCGACGACATTGTGCTGTACAGGACCGAGAAACATTGGCTGTGCGATTCTCTTCCAGTCATCAAGAACGTACTTGGTCCGCGTCAGCACTATTGTCGCTTATCTTTCAGTTTTTGTTTTTATGTCGCCAATGCTCACTTGGCAGCCCTTTTCATCCCAATTTTGACTAGTCAGTTAGTTTGCTAGTGTAGTAGGTGTATTTATGCTACGACCTGTGCAATGTCATACTCACTATTTTTATTTCCCGCTCGTTCCCCTTGGCAATGAGAGCCACTCACAAAGAAGAGCGCATGCTACAGTAGTTCTGTTCTGTTCTGTTCTGTTCTAGTCTTGAGTTGTCGTTGTCCTGTTCTCCTTCTCCTTCTTGTCTACAGTCTCGTCGAAATACTTCCATATTCAATACCATAAAACCCCTGTGTTCTGGTGTGAGGGGACTTCATTAGCCGGGAGCAAACACTAGTACCTGAAAAGTCTAGCTAGATTTCGAGTGGATTTCGAGAGCGACGGGTGGGTGATTCTGATTAATACAGCGCCGCATCAAAATAGATCATCTTTTCACACTGCGCAGACAAGTGCAGCACGATGCACAAGAAAGTAATTGGCTACTCGGAATCAGTCCCATTTTGCAAAATGACCGAGATTGCTCACCTCAGGGATCGCTCACAAAGCTGAGATTGCAGTTCCCTCACCTCGGGCTCAACGCTCGAGTATCCAGCGCATTGTGGAGATTTGCAAGTACAGTACTGTACGCGTCGTTGTCGATCAAAATAAATCTTGCAAAGAGCAGCGACTGATTTGAACCACACAGGCAGTCGTGCTGCCGACGCGAAGTCCTATAGAGAAGGCGACCGTCATGAGATGTTTGGCACACATATCTTTGAAAAAGCAGTGTTTATTCCAGGAATAAAACCAACTCACTGTTACAGACAGGTTTCAGCTCTGTCAAATTTCCATTCTCATTGCAAGTTGCTTCTTCAGATCCATTTATACTATAACCAGTGTCACATGTGTAATTCACTTGTTGAAGGTATGACAGAACTTTCTTGTCACCACCGCCATGGGTTAAAGTTGGTACAGTACAATTGACAACTAGAAAAGACATAAAGACATAAATTACGTGAGACAGGTGGAGAAAGAAGAAGAAGAAGAATGGTCGGAGAAACAGCTTACCAGTTATGCAAGACCATGAACTTAATGCTATTTTAATTCCAGCACTCCGCACACACCTACCATTAATTTTTCTTCAGCCCCAGCTCCCTCCTCTGGCAGGAGCTGCCAGATAACCCTGCGCAAGATGGCAGTTTCAGCAGTTGGAAGGCCACAATCAGCTGCTCAGCATTCCCCTCCATCCATGCTCCAACACTGCGCCACTACTAGCCTTCACATAAGGCTTCGTGCCTACCTGGAATTCCCTACCATCTGCAGTCCTAAGCGAAAAACACTGCTACAGTGGCCTACAAACCTTCAAACAGAAGACCTATCAGCACACACAACGTGAAGACTGGGTTAGGGCGTAAAGACATATTATATCTGCCCACAATCGGCTCTTGGTCAAGTTGACAACTGTCTTGTTTTCTCAATTACTGCACATATTTGATGCATGTGCGTGCGTGCGTGCGGGTGTATGTGTGTGTGTGTGTGTGTGTGTGTGTGTGTGTGTGTGTGTGTGTGCGTGCGTGCGTAAGGTGTGTGTGTGTGTGTGTGTGTGCGTGCGTAAGGTGTGTGTGTACCATACTTGCGCGATTAGCGCTTTCTCTTGAATAGCACCCTATCTCGAATATTTCACCAGTCTCCAAGAGCTAGTGAAAAATACAGCCCTCCCTTGAAAAGTGCCAACAACCTTCCAACTTGTAAGGCTCAGGTGCGGAAAGTTCCAATGTGTGGAAGGACATCACAAGTAATACGGCGAAACATACATCGTGTGAAACCACTTGCTATTGTTTCAAACGTGTCCACCATCGTAGCATCAACAAGGTGTTTAGTAGGTTATTGCCGCTCAGTTCGTGGCAGGTCGTCTTCGCTTGGCTTCCCCTCTTCATGTAATTTTAGATACAGTTTAGCCTTCCAAGTTGGGTGGTCTATTGCCTTCGAGTTATAGCTAGACCAGTTTGTCCAAATGGTCGTACTAGTCTCGTCATCATCATCCCGTAACGTTCGGCATTCCTTGCTGCTGAGGGACATGGCTTGTGCTCATCTTGATGGCGCATCCCTGAGCGTCCCGGGCACATCCCTGCATTTCCGCACCTGAGCCTTCCAAGTTGGAAGTAATAGTTTGTTGTTTTGCGCTTTGTAGGTGTGTTGTAACTAGGTGTTAGGTCGCCGAATGTCTCAATATCCTTCTCAGTTTTGTGTGTTGTTGAGGCAGTATCTGACTATCACGTTACCTTGGTGAACTGGTAGTCACAGCTAGTGACTTATATGTATAGGTCCTTTTCTCTTTGCAAATTACCATTGGCTCAACATTTGAGTTTTTTAGTTTACATTATTTACTGTTGATAAAATAATATAGTGGTAAAGACACACCTGGCAATATGGCGGTAAACTTACGCTGGCCCACACACGCTCTCTAGGCTGGACATTTCTGGCACAGAGCTCTCCTTTTCACCACCACCACCACCATCAGTTCGCGCCTGGCGTCTAGTCGATGAATGGTTGGCGGTATCTGCCATAGCAGGCTGGTACATCAAGTAGCAGAGCTGAGAAGATTGCCTGATGAATCCAGCGGGGACGAAACGTACGTCGCAGTCGAGCTTTGTCGTTGCTGTGTCATCATCTATGTACATTTTTTACATTACTTATAATAGTTTACATTATTTTGTACTTACTGTTACAAGTAGGCATTTGTAGAGTTCCATCAGCACTGCACATTGCTGTTGCAGATCCATTCATTCTATATCCAGTATTACACGTGTAGTTCACACTCTGAAGATAGGACACCCTTGTCTTGTCCGCATTGCCATTCGTGAGTGTTGGCACTGTGCAATTTACAACTAGCAAAAACAAGATCAAAGAAGGACATTTAAGAACAAAAGTGAAATGCTGTCCGTTCTGAAATGCAATAATTGTACGTGCATGTATGAGACCCAAGGAGCAGGCAGACATAGTGGGTTGGTCTAAGGCCATGATTGAGAGGTGATAGGTGATGTCAAGTGTATTCCTGGGTAAACAGACCGAACTGTCTACCCATACCATATATGTACGACTCAGTATAGAGTCCATGCACTATATGATGTCCAGGACCCTATATAGAGTCCATTGGTCCAAAATCCACTATACAGAGCCCAGGAATCCACTATACAGAGTCCAGAAGTCCACTCAATTTTGATCAGCTCCATCCAGCCGCGCAATCCCCTATAAGGAGTACACTCTTTCTACAAGTCCCCTATTCACGGTCCAGGAGTCCAGTTCATCCAGTCACGGCATCCTGTGCAGGGAGTAGTAGGTATTTTACAACTCCTTTGTTAGCTGTTAGCCAGAACTACGTGGACTGTGTGGAGCAGCAGAACCATCTAACCATAAAATATAATTGTCTTCTTGCCCCTCAGACTTCATTCTTCTTGGGTTTATGCTACATGTTTGCATGCTAAAAATATTTGCGCTTACTTGAATATCTTTTGGTAAATAACATTCTGTGCCTAATATTATATTCCTCATGCCTAGGCTCACGGTGGAATCGAGGTAGTTTTTCCCTGCAAGAACAGAATGGAGAAGGTGTTTATGGCATGTATTTCTCGTTTTCTCTAACTCTTTTTGCCGACAGATGCGCTAGTTATTGTTATTATTATTATTATTATTGCAGGCAACTTGATAACACTCAAGAAAGCACTGCCTTTTCTTTTGGGGAATTGTGATTGTGGTCAGAGATGTCTGGAATACATATCTTTGAAAAGCAGTTTTTGTTCGCAAGAAATGACTTAACTCACTGTTACAGACAGGTTTCAGCTCTGTCAAAGTTCCAGTAGCACTGCAAGTTGCTGCTTCAGATCCATTTATACTATAACCAGTGTCACATGTGTAATTTACTTGTTGAAGGTATGACAGAACTCTCTTGTCACCACGGCCATGGGTGACAGTTGGCACATTACAATAATTGTTGACAACTAGAAATGAGATGGCAATGAAAAATGTAGTGGACAGAGAGAACAAGCAGAAGAATGTTAGAAGAAACAACTCTCTAGATTAAGCAAGAATTCAACAGGTTCGATGGGCATTGTATGTGCTCTACATGCAGTCGTGAGTTAGTCAAGTTTCAAATCAGTCCATATAAATGTGTGTGCGTGTGTGTGTGTGTGTACGTGTGTGTGTGTGTGTGTGTGTGTGTGTGTGTGTGTGTGTTGGGGCATGTGGCGCGGATGCCGGACAACCGCATCCCGAAACAGGTGCTGTTTGGCTCCTTCTTGCAGGGACGCCTGGCCGCAGGTGGAAGGACTGTGCTGTCCGGGATCTACGTGCCCGTGGTGTGGAGGCATCATGGTATGATGCTGCATGTGAGTCTCGCGAGGAGTGGCGCAGCACCTACCAAGAGCCTGACAATGCCCCTGAGCCTCCGCCCCGAGTGGTATGTACGGTATGCGGACCGGATTTTGCACGGAAATGAGACATGGCTCGGCATAAGTGTCTGGAGGAGCGTGCACGGCCTGTGTCTGAGCAGCGGGGCGCCGGTCAGTGCGGGCAGTGTGGACGGTGGCTGAGAAGCCGCGGTGGCTTGGTCCGGCATGTGTGTGCCTCGACGGTGGATGCCACAGTGCCACCTGGAGCTACCGGAGCGTCGGCACCGGCGGAGGGATGTTGTGCCGCGCATTGTGACAGGTGTGGTTGCTGCTTTCGTGGTGTCTGGGGACGGGGCAGGCATCACTGTTCAAGGGTGGCCCATAGACCAACAGCAGAGGAACGCTCAACCTTCCAGCACGTGTGCATATGCGGCAAGCGGATGCGAATACCCGTGCACCTGGAACGTCATTGGGCGTCGTGCCCTCTCTCTCTCTTCTCAAGTTTCCCAGTGATGGGATCACGTGACACTTTTGCGGCAGTGACTCTACAGGACAGGACAGGTGTGTGTGTGTGTGTGTGTGTGTGTGTGTGTGTGTGTGTGGCAGCTACATTCGGTGTTGACCCTGATATCACCCGCATCATCCGTCGCCACCGGCTTCGTTGGCTGGGTCACGTCGGCAGGATGGACGACTCACGCGCACCGAAGCAATTGCTGTTCGGCGAGCTACCGGCCCCCGTCCTCGTCACGGCCCGAAGAAGAGGTGGCGAGATGTGGTATCGACTGACCTGGCGGACCTCGGCGTGACCACCTGGCTTGAGAGTTGCCAAGATCGTCCCGGCTGGAGACAAGTTGCGAGTAGCACCCCACCGCCACGGCCCGCTCCTGATCCTCTTCTATGTGTCTGTGGACGCCCATTTCGTCGACCAGGAGACCTGAAACGACATGCCAAGTTCTGCGCTCGTGTTCTCACTTGAACTTTCCGACATTCGCTATCATTGCATACGCAATGGGCAAGATCAAGGTCAAGGTCAAGGTGTGTGTGTGTGTGTGTGTGTGTGTGTGTGTGTGTGTGTGGTGTGGTGTGTGCGTGTGTGTGTGTGTGTGTGTGTGTGTGTGTGTGTGTGTGGTGTGGTGTGTGTGTGTGTGTGTGTGTGTGTGTGTGTGTGTGTGTGTGTGTGTGTGTGTGTGTGTGTGCGTTTTGCTTCAACCGATGTCAACTATCAGTCTCTGAGTTATCCAGAATAGATAAGGGCTTGTAAAATGTAAAGGCACCAGAAAGAATAACTCACTCGCAATGTGTAACGAGAGAGCGTTAAAGCTCAGGGCCCTACACTATGCTTTTTTTGCCCAGCGCATTAGGAATGTTATTCGAACTGATGGAAATGTTTTTTTGCAATACAATGATTATGTAGGCGACAAAGTAACGTATTTTGCATAGCGGCATAGATTGCATAGATGATCGCCTTATGATCGCCTTATGCCTATGGACCGCAGTCACTGATGATCGCCTTATGCCTATGGACCGCAGTCACTGGATACTCAACAAGTTTGGGCATGGTCACGTCTTTTCTCCTGCCGACTGGATGCCTGGCCAGCACCCTCTTGCTGTTTGCACATCTGTTGACGAAGTCGGCGAGTCTCCAAACGACGGAATATTTGCTCCGTTGTTTCTTGTTGTCAGCCTTTCGCAAGCACAGTAACTGTCGAAGCGGCGGGACCTCTCTTCTCCCATCTTCTACTCTGTGTGTAGACACTCCTGCCGACGCCATCTGATCAAAGCTTCAACACTGTCACCCCTGTCATTTTGCTTTTCCTCATAGTTCTCCGTTAACGATCTCAGCATTCCATTTATACAACAACTGTGCCCATTAAAACACTGCAATCTACCCGATCCTTGCATTCCCTGCCCATTAGCAGCACACCCAAAAACATTTGAATGATAATTCGAACGACAATGCGACCCTGTGACTTTGATGACTTGGGCAACAAAAACAAAGCGATGTTATACATTTTTTCATTTCCCCAACTTTCTCAAGGCACAATATGGGATTCGAACCCACACTCTCGCCCTGCATGCATCCCCCGATGCACTTCGCATACATACACATTCATAAGTTGCTTCACGTTATGATCTTGCAGTTGAAAGCCCTATTTGAGTAATGTGGCCAGCTGTCTTTGATGGTACGGTACTGGACCGGAAACCGCCAGGCATGCCGACGTCGTCAGGCACAAAGAAAAAAACCGGAATTAAAGCTGTGTGGACCCTGGCTAGAGCCAGACCATACGTAACGTAAATAATGTCTTTTGCATAGCTATGGGAATTAAAGTATTATTCTTTACGTTTTCTTGTACTTACTGTTGCAAGTAGGTGTTTGTAGAGTTCCATCAGCACTGCACATTGCTGTTGCTGATCCATTCATTCTATAACCAGTATTACACGTGTAGTTCACACTCTGAAGATAGGAAACCATTGTCTTGTCCGCATTGCCATTCATGAGTGTTGGCACTGTGCAATTTACAACTAGCAGAACAAGAACAAAGAAGGACATTTGAGAACGGAAGTGACATGCTGTCCGTCCTGAAATGCAATAATTGTATGTGTATGTATGACACAAAAGCACCGGGCAGCCATAGTGGTTCATTTCACTCATTCAAGCTGCTTTAGCTTTCGCGCCCTTGCCGACAATTGATATGTCTTCAACGACTTCCATGGCATGGTGGGCGTGATAGCCATCAAACCATGAATGATGAAAGCCTAAAAAATTGCTTATAAAAACAACACACAATGTCGCGAGAAACTTCTAAATTCCAAAACGTTGCCACAAAGATTCAAGTGAGACAAGCAGTGTCTGGGACAGCCCCATGTGATCAGTACGTCTGGTATGCACTTATGCCCTCTAACTGCAATTATGCTACCAACTAAACATGGTGAAACATGCCTTCGATGAATCTACTCTTCATGTACAATTGGCAGATGAACATGATTGTTTTCTGAGAGCCTGCGGCTCGGGGATGCCTGGAACACAAATATTTGAAAAAGCAAGGTTTGTTCCCAGAAAATGACTCAACTCACTGTTACAGAAAGGTTTTAGCTCGGTCAAAGTTCCATTCTCACTGCAAGTTGCTGTTGCAGATCCATTTATACTATAACCAATGTCACATGTGTAATTCACGTGTTGAAGGTACGACAGAACTCTCTTGTCACCACGGCCATGGGTTACAGATGGCACAGTACAATTGACAACTAGAAATGAGATAAAGACATGAATTGTAAGGAAACCAGTAGACAAAAGAAGACAAAGGCTCGAAGAAAAAAAAGCTTACCGCATTTCAGTCTATTTTGATTCCATCGTCCTAACCAAGCTCTTGGCCCAAATGATGGAGTTTTCAAACGTTTTTTTCAAATGGTTAAACTCATCAAAGATTATTATTATGATCTGTGTAGCATCCATCCACATCTTCTCCTCCATTATCATTATACATGTACAATGTATATTTGATCAGCAAATTCAAATTCAAATCGGTTGAGCTGCTCGTTTGCTTGTTTTAATTGTATTCTATTTTCGTCACGTATTTTTATCGCATAATATTGTTTTTTATATCGCCATCAATACCGGTACCCTGTTTGGCTGTTGTCGCTTCGGCTTATGCGAAAGCTATTCATGCTGTGTATATCTACATTGCATTGATGCCAACGCAGAGAAGCTTTTAATAATAATAACAATGTACAATGTACATTGTAGCGTGTGGATTTTCTCCTGAAAGAGAAGAATCGCAAACAGTTTGAATCTATTACAAGATATGGTATTTTGTAATTTTCACATCTTGATTTCGCGGTCCTGGTAGTGTGCATGTGCGGGTGCATGCAAGAGTGCGTGCGTGTGTGTCTGAGAATCCGTGTATGCGTGCATTCCAGTACATACGTATATTCATGAAGGAGTGCTTTCATCCACAGTCAGCTGAGTATGCCACTCTTGTAACGCTGCTCTTAATGAAGCCAATACTAAACGAGTCTCAGCGTCATGCAGAATATCGCAAGGTCGCAGGAGTGAAATTAATGTCATGGAAGCTAAAAGAAGAATTCTCCCATTTTTCGTTTGATCATAATTCAGGTCATGGCAAACAATCGAGGACATCTGGAAGTAGTAATTTTATTACTCCTCCGAGGTATGAATTTTGGACTGAGCCAAGCACAAGAAGAAGCTTTCTGCCAACAAGCTGAAGGAATTGCTTGTTGTTTGATTCTTTGATGTAATCTTTGTAGCCAGTGAAAGTTAGCTGCTGTTTGGAGCAGAAACATTGAAATTGACTATTTACTGCATACCTGTACTCATGTAGTCATGTCTTCAGGCATGCAGCCTCACTTGTACCAACTATTCGGTGAACCAATGCTTTCGGTGAATCTGCTCTGTATGGATATTTGGCAGATGATCATGTTTTCTGAGAATCTGCGGCGATTCCAAGTCAATTAAGGTTGAATTGTGATTGTGGTCAGAGATGTTTGGAATACATATCTTTGAAAAAGTAGTGTTTGTTACCAGGAAATGGCTCAACTTACTGTTACAGACAGGTTTCAGCTCTGTCAAAGTTCCATTCTCATTACAAGTTGCTGCTTCAGATCCATTTATACTATAACCAGTGTCACATGTGTAATTCACTTGTTGAAGGTATGACACAACTTTCTTGTCACCACGGCCATGGGCGACAGTCGGCACAGTACAGTTGACAACTAGAAATGAGATAAAGACATAAATCATGCGAGACAGATTGACTAAAGAAGGAGAATGGTCGGAGAAACGGCTTGCCTCATTTAAGTCTATTTTGATGGCGTCACTCCTAACTGAGCTCTTTGCCCACATGATGGAGTTTTCAAACTATTAATTTTTCGAATGGTTAAACTCGTCGCAGATTATACGATCTAGAACCCGAAGTGCGGCATCCATCTATATCTTCTCCGCCATCATAATATACAGGTTTATGAACGCCTCGACATTCAACCCCTGCCATCAATGTATTTGCCGCAAACTCTTCCTGCTAGCATTTCGTGTAATTCATGATAACTGTAGTGTGCTTCTTCATGACCTGGTTACACCTCTGTCACACATCCGTAAAACAAGGAGCAAAGATGTTCCCCTGCTTCTTTTCCCCGAGGATCATATCTACAGCCTCCACACACAGCCCATCATATCAATATCCTGCTCTTTGGAAAAAGTTGCCTGTATCTATACGATCACTGGAGATACCAGGTCAATTCCAGACCGCTCTTTTATCCCACCTGAAAATTCAATGACGTTGCTCACTAATCAAATAATTATGTAATCTTTAAAGAGTCGGCGTGGAGAAAGCAATTTTATAAGTGCAATAAAGAGTATAATAGATGCACACATGGCCAGACAACAACGAGTTAATGGAATTTTAAAGGATTTTTATTATTCAAAATCGATTTTCGTATGTAATCTTTCTTCAATGTTATCGCATCAGCTGATTGTTTAGTAACTGGTGGTGTTATAGGACATTTTTTCTTTTTTTCTTTTTTCCTTTAACATTTTCCTTTACCTTATACCAAGAGTCCATAAACAAGAGTATGCAACTGTGATCTCTTTTCTATGGGCCAGATGCGCGGCGCGCTGCCTTCATTACATCATTCAGCTGCAGTCCGCGCACTGCGGAAAATCAAACACCGCACTTTCCCTCTGGTTTGAAATGAACTTTCGTACGGAACTGGAGTTCACGCGCCAGAATTCAGAGATCGCGTAGGTACTGGAACGAATCGAGCAAAAACGGATGGGCCCGTACGAGAAATTGTGAGTTTGAATGCATGCTTTCAGAGCGTGATGAAGGCAAGTTACGTAATGAAGGCAGCGCGCCGCGCACTGGGCCATAACGACAGTTGCATACTCTTGTTTATGCACTCTTGCTTATACTTGTGTGCGTGGAGTCGATCTCATGTAATAAGGCAACTCTGCCTGTTTGTTATTCGACATTAAATATATCAATCCAGTGCAAGATATGGTATCCTCAATTTTCATATTTTGATTTCGGGGTCCTGGGTGTGTGCATGCGGGTGCATGCAAGAGTTCCTTTGTTTGTGAGAGAATCCATGTGTGCGTGCGTTCCAGTACATGCATATATTCATGGTTGAGTGTTTTCCTCCACAGTCAGCTGAGTATGCCATTCTTGTAATGCTGCTCTAAACGAAGCTTTTGTACATGTGGCTGCACGTGTAGCTCTTCGTTGTTTATGCGTAGCTCTTTGTCATACCTGCTGCTGCGTTTGTGTTTCTTTGTCATACCTGCTGCTGCATTTGTGTTTCTTTGTCATACCTGCTGCTGCATTTGTGATTCTTTGTCATACCTGCTGCTCCTGTGTACATGCGGCCACACTGTCTTCTGTCCCCGTTGTATACACACTTTCTCGTCTTGTCCCCGTTGAACGCCTTCATTATATATTCCTTCATCTCGTCTTGTCTCGGTGTCAGCTGTCTCGTTGTCTCAAAAGAGAAAAAACTGATTTACTCTCGCTCTAAAACCTCTTGGCCTGTTGGTGTGTGGCGTGTTGAGGAGAATAGTTTGTCCCATAAGCTAGACGTAGAAAAGTTGCGCTTCTAGCTGACGACAAATCCAATAATTACGAGTCCCTGCATCACGCAAAATATCGCCAGATCATAGCAGTAAATGTCATGAAAGCTAAATGTTGTGTATCGTGTCGGAGAAAGGTCTTCTGGGGTGTCGTCGAGATCTCGTTGCGACCGTGACTCCTGCTTGTCTTCCTGGCTAGGTGCTGCTTGCTTTGCTTTTTTGCGTAGTGTTTTTGATTATTGTTTACTATTGCGTATTGTTAGTGTTCGTTGTGATTTGGTACAGTACTTGTTACGAGATACGACACATTGTGTAGTGTGTGTTTGCAGCACGAAGAAGACTGCTCACCAGAACGGTTAGCTCAGGAGCTTGGGCTTACCTTGTGCAATCACAGTTCATCAGCTTGGACATTGCGCTTGGTCCCATGCGAATAACCGACTAGAATAGTAATTATTTCTTCGTTGCATTTTTGAATTGTGTTCTTGCTAGCTCGTTGATTTATTTAGTTGATGTGTTGATTTGTGTTTGATTACTTATTTATTTGATGCGCGATTTATGTGCGCTGATTGCGTGATGGCATGCAATTATGATCATGCTTGCGCCAGCTAGCTAGATGCCTGCGCCGCGCACTGATGTTGAATGAGTTAGTATGCGCCCCGCGCTGTTCATGCATATATGGTACATGGTGTGTAATGTTTGCCGCACATGCGTATACGTGCCTCGCCTCGTACTGCTTATGTGCCGCACGCCGTACTATTGCTGTCGCTTTGCCGCCAAATTTAGCTTCCGCTTTCCGAGCGCTGTACGCTCTTCTGTACGCTCATGCCAAAGTTGGACGCACGTTGTGGCTGGCCAGCGCTTTACCCCTCATGCGTTGTTCTTTTCCTTGAGGCTGTGGTTTGTTTTCTTTAGTGTTC